TTGTACCAGTTGTGGTCTACAACTTCCTCGATTAGATGGAGAGATTGTTTGGCTGATACCACAGTAATATTGTTGGCTTGTGTTGACTCAATCGTGAAGTTGTTGTCTTTCATTATTTCTAAGATTTGACTGTGTAGGCTGGATTGGTTATGTCTTTTTGTGCTAACTTCAGCTTCCAAGATACTGTTGGTTGTCCATGCCTGATTTTGCAGGTTTTGTAGTCTTCTTCGAGTAGTTTTTCCTATAAGTGTGTCTGAGTTACAATCTCTTACCAGTCTTTTGATATACTGTTCGAGTTGTCGATCATAGATGTGTGATATGTTGTATATAGTATATATGTGTATACCACTGTTAATTGCTGTTGATGCCACCCCGATTTTGTGTTTTATAAGACTGATTATTTTGCTATTGTATTTGTTGCATTCTTCTTGTGACAGTTTCATGTCTTGGAGCAGGTAATCCACTGTTGGTGCCAGCACATGGTTTAGAATGTATGTGAGCTGTTTATCTGTGATATGTGTTCTTTTAAAGGTATTTATCATGTGTTGTACCTTGTCTTTGATTAGCTCTTTTTGGTGTTTCTTTGCTCCTGATGCTGTTATTCATGTTCCTAGGATTCTGACTGGTGACTTGTGATGTTCCGCTTATATTGTGTAGTTGTCCCATTTAATCTTATTGCGTGTATGGTTCTTGTTTGTTATCAACAGGAATGATTTTTGTGGGTTTATCTTCAGGTTGTTCAGATTCGCAAATGGTATCACAATCTTTTCTATTTTCTCCAAGTTTTTCTTACTGTTCGTAATCCATGTGCTATCGTCTATATATGTAATAGAAAATATGTTAAGTTTGGTTTTTCTGAGTATCCTTGGATTTGTTATTGAATAGTTCATAATGATTGTATAACCTAGATTTTCTTGTTCAACTTTACAGATAAGGGGATTATAGTATATGCACCAGAGAAAAGGGAAATTGTATCACCTTGATCTATCCCTGTGCTTGGGCTATAGCTCTCGGAAAGCCCGTGGCATGTGATTATTTGGTTATTTCTATTGGAGTTGAGTTTTAACAAAATTGTTATGATGTTTTGTGAAACTTTGATCCTTAATATGGCATCCTCTAATCAATTTCTATCCATAGAGTCGTATGCTTTGCTAATATCCTGTGTTAGGATCCAGCAATCTTTTTGATTCTCTCTGGCATCTTCCAAGACATTATTGATAATCATTATTGGTTCGTGTGTTCCTCCTCCAGGAAGTCCTGCCCAGTTGAGTGGAGATAGTATCTTGTGTTTTGTGAGAATTTTGGCCAGTCTGCTGTTCAATGTTTTTGTGAAGATCTTCTTAATTGTTTCAAGCAATGTAATAGGTCGGGTTAAATTGAGATTATAGTGCCAGTCTTTCTTCTTTGATATAGGATATATCAGATTGTTCTGCCAGAAGCGTGGGATTTCTTGCATCTCAAGTATTTTGTTGAATATGTTTACCATTCTTATGTATGCTGTTTTCCCCATTTTTTTGATAATGTCGTAGCTAAGCTGGGATTTGCCAGGTGCAGATCCATTGTTCATTTTCTTAATTGTTTCTTCAATTTCTTGTATTGTATAATATTCAGTGAGTTCTGAATACCATGCTGGATCTATTTCTGTTTTTGGTGTGTATTCTGTCCACCATTTCGACTTTTCTATTTTCTGTTTTTGTAATGTTGGAGCTGCGATTTGTTTGTAGTGGTCTACTGCCATCATTTTGATCATGGTTGGGTCTGTAATGGCATCCTTCTCTGGGTCTTCGAGGAGCAGTTTGTCCATCTCGATGTGTGTTGACTTCCTGTTGAGAAATGAATCTATCATCTTTTTCTTTGCAAATTGATGGTTGTTTTGTCTTATCTCTGTATATTTTCGAATTTGAGCTTGTTTTTTGTGTTGGAGGTGGATCTTGAGTGCTTTTGCAATACCTGTTTTTAGGTTGCGTATTTCTTGGAACCAATGGACTAGGTTAATGCCCTGGGACTTGTTTGTAAGCTTGATCAACAGGAGCTCTGCTGTTTGTACATTCGTTTTTTGCCACTCATTCACCTGTGATACTGTGTATTCAGCATCTATTTTTCCTGCCAGGTACTTCTTCACAATGTTTATGGCTCTGTTGAGTGCTGTAATTGTATGTGCTGTTTTCCTATCATTGTTTATTCTTATTTTTTGTTTATTTTGTTTAGTCTTTATTCTTTTTATATTATTTCTCATGGCCTGGTTTATTGCTTCCCATGTGAGATTCCACAACTTATTT